TGCTGCTCTCAGGGCTCTGCCCATCACTGCCAGGGTACTGTGACCACTGCCAGGGCACTGCCACCACTGCCAGGATACTGGGACCACTGCCCGGGCATTGCTGCTGCTGCCAGGGTACTGGGACCACTGCCCGGGCATTGCTGCTGCTCTTGGGGCACTGTGACCACTGCCAGGGCATTGCTGCTGCCCTTAGGGCTCTGCCATCACTGCCAGGGCGTTCCTGCCGCTGCCAGGGCTCTGCCATCACTGCCAGGGCATTGCTGCTGCTCTCAGGGCTCTGCCACCACTGCTCGGGCATTGCTGCTGCCCTTAGGGCTCTGCCATCACTGCCCGGGCATTGCTGCTGCCCTTAGGGCTCTGCCATCACTGCCAGGGCATTGTTCTGCTCTCGGAGCTCTGCCCATCACTACCAGGGCGTTGCTGCTGCCCTTAGGGCACTGCCATCACTGCCAGGGCTCTGCCATCACTGCCAGGGCGTTGCTGCTGCTCTCGGGGCTCTGCCCATCACTGCCAGGGCATTTCTGCCCCTGCCAGGTCTCTGCCCATCACTATCAGGGCATTGCTGCCGCTGCCAGGGCACTGTGGCGCCTGGGAAAAATTCTCCAGCGCTGTGTGCCAGCCGGGGAGATGGAAAGACAGGCAAGAACAGGACGTGGATCTGTGTATCAGAGCAGCCAGGCTTCCAGGTAATTTTAGGAAATTCCCATCACCTCACCTTCGTGTTCAGCTCCCAGAAATACTTGGGATGCAAAATAGTTTTGTTTCAAAACCTGAGGAGCCATTTTGCACCTTAATGAATCTCTTTGGGAGTATTGGCTGCCAGATTCCCCCACCAAACCCAGCAGGATGGGCTGTGCTCTGCTGAGCTGCACCTGGGACAGAGCCTTCCCTTGGGGATGCCAGGGGCGAGCTGCCAGCGCTCTGGATTTGTGATGGAACATTGGTTTCATGTCATTAATCTGCTCTTAAAGGCTGTGCTGTGCCTGGAGAGGGAGCTGGGCAGCAGGCACAGCACGCCAGGGACCCCATTCCACAGACAGATTAAATCTCATCTGAAACCTGCTCTGAATTAAGCTGATTTCTTCCCGTCCGTCCTGCACTTTTAGAACTCCTCTCTTATTATTCCCTCCCTTGAGTTGTGCTTTCTCTCAACAAATCCATCTGCTTCAACCTTTTCCCACAGATCATCTTTTCTCAGCTCTTTATTATTTCTGGTTTTTGGAAATCTTGATTTCCACTCAACCCTTCATGTTTTTGAGATTACCATGAATTTTTAATGTATGCTAGTGATGCATTTGTGACTTCTAGTTTGCTGCTCTTTAAAAAAATTAATTATATTAATTCTGTTTTTTTTCTGGGTTTATATTATTTTTATTTCTGTTTTAATATTAATTCTGTTTGTTTTTTTTTTTTCCTAAATCATTTGGGATAATGTGGAATTAGCAAAGCTGGAAGCAGATCACTATGCAAAACCACATAGGCTGATCTAAGATGAATAAAACAAGAGTATTCGTTTACTTTTAAACTCATTTGTTTGCCCTGACTAACTGATCGCTCTTATTTTCTACATCATCATACACAATGTTGTCTAGGACCTTACATCAAGCTGCACCTACTGGTAATTTTTCCATATTAAACCAGCCATTCTCATAAAGGATTTTTTTTTTTTTTTTTAGTTTATTGTTATCCAAGTCATGGTTAAGAAGTTTCCTCCAGCCTCTCTGCAGGATGGGATTTAGGCTGACTGAGCTATGGATCTTTGCCCTCCATCTTTTCCTGGCTCTTCCCCTGTTGATGCAAAATGCCCACTCTGCTCTTTTCCAGTGCCACCTTCAAAGACAATTCAAAGGTCAAGCATTCTACCATTAGCAAAATTGCATTTTGATTGGTTCTGGACAGAATGTCCTGAGCCTAAAACACCTCTAGTCCCCACTAGATTTGGGGTTTTTTTCCTATTCTGACCCACATTTATGCTAAAAGGCAGTTTCATTTTAAGTAAACAATCAAGATTAGCCTTTTCTCAGGAAAGGAAAGAATTCTCATCACTGATTATCTAAACTCTCTGCATTATCTGTTATTTCCCATTTTTAGCTTTTAGATAATAGAAGAGCAATGAAAGAAATTGAGTTTTTCATCACTTACACTTTCCAGCCTGTGAAGAAATTCACAGCAAGCTCAGAAATGCAAAGGCTCAGTGTCAAGATCCCCTTGACTCCAAGAGCGGTCAGAACTTCATCTAAAATGCTTCCAGATTTAAAAAAAAAAAATCCATTTATATTCTGTTACTGATCTGTCATCTTAGACGTTCTTGCTAATTTATAGGCTGGAGCTTAAGCAAGGAGGGGAGAAGCTTAAAAGAAAACGTAGTTACCAGCTGAGCTTTGCTGATCAGGTTTAGCAGCTTTAAAGCCAATTAATTTTCTGTCCAAACCTCCTGCAGTAAAACTGGAAAGCAGACAGGGATGGGATGGGTGCCAGGTGGGTTTCACAAGGAGCTCACTCCTCAGGGAGGGCGGGAAGGAGCCCTTGGTGTCAGATCAGAAGAGAAAAGTTCTTTTGTTTCTCCCAATGAACACTGAAATCCATAAGGGGGGCAATCAGCAGAGTGGATGAGTTTTTGTCAAAAAGAAAAGTGGTAAATTTTTATTTTTAATGGTGTAGAAGGAAAAGAGTGTGTAATGAGTGTGTTTATATATTAAGATACTGAGTGGAACACTAAAGAGCAGCCAGCAGAAAAGTGCTCTGTGTTTTTGACCAGCACAATTATGGAAAGTTCCCTTTCAGTAGGGAGAGATAAATGTATGATTGATTTCCATTTCCATTTTCAATTACAATTTCCAATGTAGGAATTATTTCCATTATTGAAATATTATTTAACTTCACAAGAGGAGAGGCTGACTTATTTTCAATGGATGTTTTAAAATTTCTGAACTCACCATTTCAAGCCTAAACTCTCTAAAATAGATATTGAATTCATTTTACTTACTACATATATATAAAGTAAAATGAATATATATATATTTTATATATATATATATATATATATATCTTGTCACCTATATTTGTGCAGCAAAACCAGAAGCTTTGTTGCTCTTAGTAATTAAAAAAATGTAATAATTATAACCACACATAAGCTGACCTAGGTTACTATGGGCATACTCACTGACTTTACTCCTCAAACTTTAAATTCCTCTTATTATCCCAGAGATCCCACTCTATTAAAGGTTATTAATTGGAATGACAACCAACTGTATAAGAAATCACTGTAAAAAACCTAGAGTCATCATTCTAAAAATAAATCCTGGATTGAACTGCACGAAGCAGTCCTTCATTGTTTTAAAAGTGGAACTTTAATCATTTTTGTTGGATTTTATGAAGTTTTTAAATAGAGAAAACTGCTGCAACAGGAGCAGTTGATTCCTCGTGGGAAAAAATCTTATAAAATTACTGTATCCCAAAATTAAGTTCTGACACTCAATGATAGTTGGATATATTGGCCATGTAAACTAAATGGAGATAATCCAAACCCAGATGCTCTGAAGAGGTTGCACAATTTCCCCAATCACAAACAGCTCAAATGCAGTAACGGGCAGATGCTCCTCAGTAATTAGAGTTGTGTAACTTTTCTTTACAATTCAGAAGTAACTGTGGGTAAATGTCTGAGTTCAGGCTCTTGGCAGGTGTCATTGTGAAACTCCAGGTTGTGTCATCACTGCAGATGAGCCAGAATTTTAGAAATACCCAGCCCAGTATTTTAAGAAATGTCACTTCCTAAATCTTCTCTGTATAAACAGAGAAGCCTGAGAGTATCATGGGAAAAAAAATAGGGGACTGCTAAATATGATGGCAGAGCAGTGGTGAGACTTTGGAGAGCCTTCAGATGCTAAAGATGCAGATAGGCACCTTATGGGATTTTCCAAAATTCCTAAGCGGGTAAGGCGCTTACACCATGCTTAGGCACTTTGAAAATCCTGCTAAGGACATCTCTGCATCTTTAGGGATCTAAAGCTCACCCTACATGTCCAGTTCCTCTCATTCTTTGCTTTAAATCGTGTCACTGTGACACGCAGCACGTTTGGCTCTGAGCTCAGGAGAGGGGGAAAGGAGGGTGGATTAGGTCTGAGAGGATTTAGAGAGGAAATCACTGCACACTACTGGGGTAGAGATGGAAATATATCTTGTTCCAGCACTTCTCTTTATTACATAAGCCCCACACTTTGTACAAGTGATCCTTTGTACATTCCATGTTTCATCTTTTTTTATCTTTTAACGCAGTAAAATGACGAGAAAGAAAAAGAGCTCAGTGTTCTCAGAAAAACTGAATATCAACAAACAACACTCATGAAGCCAAGTAAAATAACACTGTAATTCTAGATCATGTTAACATTGTCTATTTACTTATTGACATCAACAGCAAAGCTTTGATTATGTTTTATAACTACACGGCCTCGAAATATAACACATTTTACCAGTATTACAATGCATTTGAAATTAAGACTTTATACTTTTTCAAAGTTCTTTATAGAACTCTCTTATTTCTAAGCTGATCTTTTCAGCCTGTTTACATCCTGGCCAAATGTAAATAACATTGCAAGTACATTCTACTAAGATTTTAGCAAAAACTCCATTTTTTAAAGTAGAAAGGAAAAAACAACAACTCATAAGCAGAAAATGGTCAACATGAAATAATCTGAGGTCATTTTCCACTTACATCATAAATTTCTATATTTCATAGAAATGTTTTTTTGCTATGTTTAATGGGTTAACATTGCTTAATGTCTTAATCCCTTGAATCACAGGATTTAAGACAGATATTCAGAATTGGTTTTATTAACTGCCCCTACACTATGTATTTAAACACTAAGTAGCTGCTTAACTTGTTGGAAGTTTCCTGAACTGACAGAAATATTTATACAAGAAACAGACATCACAACACTCATCACAGTTTGTTTTCATACACAAACACAACTTTGGCTCTGCATTTTTAGAACAAACTCCATTTAGCTTTGCAGACTATTGGCAATGACAGAGAACCTCTGTTTCAGCTTCTCCCTTTTCTGCTTTAAGTGCTTTTCAATGGCCCTGGCTTCTTTTAGGATCTCATCGAGTTCCTGGACATAAGAAGAATCCAATGCTATTCCTGCACTAAAGGGAAGAAATCTGTGGTTAAAATCAATGCTAATGTCATTAACTTTCTCACGACTTTTATTTTTTTCTTAAAAATGGGTCGTGTATCAATACCCAGTTTCTGACCAAATTAATCCTCTGTTGTAATAAAAAACACCATTTTTCTTTCAAGATCTGCTTGACAGTTTTCAGTGTTAATTTCCCTAAACTGCAGCCACCCATCCATCTTATCTAGAGAATTTTAAAATTGCTGTGCAAATAGCACAAAGTTAACTTGCCTTATAGTGTCAGCATATTTTGATAGCAAATTATTAATTTCTTTGCTGATCTCTGTTAAGAGAGAAAAAGATAATTTTATTTAAACATTTGAGTGAATCTCAAGATGAAATTAGGTCATTCCATACTTACTTCCAGTGTATTTACTACATCACCATTTACAACCTTTTCCAGTGGTTCAGTCTTGAAAAGGGACTGCGAGTCCTCAGAAGGAGCCAAATCTGTTTTGTCGGAAAATGGAGGATTTTCTGAAGCTTCATTCTAACAACAGAGCACATTAGGAAAAATACAGTTCTGGGATTTAAAACAAGCTTTGCACAGAGTTTAGCTGAGAGAAAGAAAAGGTTTAAAAAGACCTTGAGGATGTTTTTGGAGAAAATGCAAGTGGGTTCACAGTATCATGAGCATCTTGGGGAGTGGGTGGAAGTACCAGACTGAGATCTCTCTATATACACACATTTATATATATATACACACATATTTATATCTATATACTGATATATGTGGTATATATAGCGCAGTAAAAGCTGGTGCACTTCAGAATCTCGCTCTCAAGAAGTTCTACATAAATATACCCCAGTGCTTACCCAGTTTTGGTGGGCTTGAAGCCCTCATAGAAACTGTGGTTTCCCCACACTGAAAAAATCATTTCTGCTCCCCTAAACTTCCCTAAAGTGCCGTGGATCTCTGTTCCTTCAGTCCAGAGGAGGACATGGGATGGGGGGTTCCTCCCTCATACAGCACCGCTCACCTCCATCTTTTTGCTTTTATTTCTATTTTTATCTGCTTTTTGCGAGTTGCTCGCCATGGCTGCCTCACGAAAAGCACGAGGTGTTTGCTGAGAGGTCACGCTGGAAGAATGTTTAAATAAAAACCTGTAAAACCTGCGGCTGGCTCCTCTGCAAGGGCGCTCCTCTCACGGGGGAGGCAGCGCCTCAAAGGGCTGGAGACGGCGGGGGAATGCCGGGGAGTCCCAGGCCGGCCTAAATTCGATATCCAAGGGGATTTAATTCGATATCCGAGGGAATTAAATTCGATACCCGAGGGGATTTAAAGCTTTCTGATCCCCCCGGAGCCTGAAGGCACCGAGGCGCCCAGGATGCCCCGGCCCCGCCGCTTCCCCTTCAGGGAGGCGGGCAATGGCCTTGAGGGGCCGCGACTGCGGCGACAAGGGAAGGGGGACAAAGACGAGAAACAAGGGACACAAGGGACAAGAAAGGACACAAGGGACAGGAAAAAAGGGACACAAGGGACACTCGTTCCCCTCAGGGCTGGCAGCACCCCGGTGCCACCCTCGGTGGCAGCGGCAGGAGCGGCCCCAGGCGCGCCCTGAGGGCCCAAGGAGCGGCTCCGGCCCGGGCTGGGATTAATTCAATCAAATTCGATTAATTAAAGCTTTGAAAAGTTCTTCAAATTTCCCGTCAAATTTCACCTTCTAAATGAAATCCTTGGAATGCGTCTCATGCGCGATGGATCTGCCCCCAAAAACGAGCCCCAAATGAGCTCAGTTGGAGCGGCCAGGCACTAAAATGAGTAAAGACTCTAAAATGAGTTACAGCACTAAGATGAGTAACAGCACAAAACTAGTAAAAACTAAAAACGCATAAAAACACTAAAATGAGTAACACTAAAACGATTAACACCACCACGACACAGGGCTGCCAAGACCATATTTTCTCTCTCTCGCTAATAAGCGGGGAATAAAATTGTAAATTTCCCTAGGCTGTGTTTCACTGCTGTAGGTGAACCAAGTCTTTGTTCATTGCAAGATGGGAATTTATGATTATGTTATGCTATGTTATGCGTCTCAATTATGATGTATTAAAGTTATGGCATGTAAGATTATGTGAACTTTGCCTCTCACTTGGGTGCTTTTTCCTTTTTTTTTTCTTTTCTTTCTTTTTCTATGTTCTCTTTTGAAGACAGGAAAGGACCTGAATCTCACACACATCATCCACAGAGGAAATTAAAATATCAGCATGAGAAATCAAACTCCTGAAGGAACAAGAACTAAATATTTCCTCATAGTAGAAACAACTTTTCATAAGTGGCCATAGCCCACTTCATTTAATTATCAGATATCTCATATGTAATTATGTTATAAGTATTATTATCAAAACATTAACAAACAGATATGACAGAACATGTTAGGAAAATATTCTTAAGATGTTCACTTAATTGTGTCATGGTAATAGCTTTTATTAACAGACCACCTGGAGTAAAACAAATTAAACATTTGAATTTTCATTTCCATTTTCTTATGGATATAATAGTCTATGAATAAAACTAGGACTAAAAATAACATTAAAACATTTAAAAGAAAATTATCTAAGAGGAGAGAGTTCACTCTTACTGGAGTTCCAGTTCCTTTAAAACTGGAGCAAAATGATCAAAACCATTACTCTAAAAGTAGTTGCAGTTCCTCTAAGATTGGAGATATTAATATCCAGGAGAAATGAAAATTCTAAACTGTACCACAGAAGCCATTGTATGAGCTAGATCTGGTCCTGAAAAATGCGAATATGTGCACAAAGGATAAGGAAATTTATTCAATGTGTTCAGTGAACTAATTGAATTTTAAGGCTCTCAAAGGCTGACATGAAAGACCAAGTCCTTCTGATAGCTTTGTATGGAATATCAATTGGCCAAAAATATCAGTGCCAACAGCTAATACAAAATAAAGAATTATCTGAATGTATATTTAAACTTAAATTATGAATTAGTAGTACAGCTTTAATTTTTGAAAAATGGTTTTGGCTAAACCAGCCAAAATCCAGGTTTATTAGTAAAAGAGGCAGTTTTTTTTATCTTTACCAGTTCAAATAAAGTTGAAAGCCGTGTTTTTAACCTCAAAACCACCTCCTCATGTTTATCGTACAGATATTAAAACATCCCTGTGATCTTTGGTTTTTTTGGTGTTTTTTTTTTGCCTCCAGGACCAGTAAAAGGCATGTGAGCAGCTGAGAGAATGCCCTGAGAACTTGGGTTTGGGTTTGATGTGGAGATTTTGTGGGGGTGTTTTTATAGTCCTCACCAGCTGGGGCTCTTCAATTTACCCCCCAAGCTGCAGGGCTGAGTACCCGAAATTGTGACCGGCCCCAGAAACACCAAATGCAGGCATGGAGACGTAAAAACCGGGGGCACCGTATGGTGCTCGTGTCCCCAATTCTCTGTTTAGCCCAGAAATAAGTTTTGCACCTTTAAGGCTGGTTCTGAGAGTGAAGGGGGGAGAGAAGAAGTGCAGAGTTTATTTTCAGAATTTGCACTCCTCCACATTCCGGCTCCTGGACTGTGTTGTCTGCAGCATGGACAGACAGCAGGACAGAGCTCTCCTTTGCTTTTAGTTAGTTTTTTAGCTAGCTGAGGAAGAGGAATTCCATGGAATGTGGTTTTTCTTTTTCTTCAGAACTATTTGAACCTGCTCTGGACTGAACACCCAGAAGAGCACCTATAGCCCACCAGGCTGGGCCTGGGCCGCGCATTTCCAGCACTGGGGGGACCGATAAGAGACTGATAAGAGACTGATAAGACACTGATAAGACACTGATAAGACACTGATAAGACACTGATAAGACACTGAGTGAGCCAAGCTACAGCCCACAGAGGGACTTCCTGAGTTTGTCATCTCTTTTGGAGCAGCAAGTTTTATTGTTTAATATTGTTCATTTTATGTGCTAGTGAATGCTTTGCCTGTTAAATAAACAGGTTTTTCCCACTTTTCGCCAAATAAATATTTTTTTCCAAACCAATTGGAAGAAAGGCCACTTAAATTTGCTTTGCAGAGAAAACCCCTTTAGAGGTTTTCTCCCAAATTTCCCAAAATCTCAAGACATTGAGAAATAATTCGTTCCCAAGCTGGCTGCCCGGGTTTTTAGGGCCTGTCCCATGGCTGCAGTTGCAGCGTTCCTCCCCAAAGGCAGCGGGATGCGGACGGGGCGTTCTCCCCGTCCGTGAACTCCTCCCATGCAGCCGCTCCTGCACTCGGGGCTGCTGCCTCGGGAGATTTCCCCGCCCAGGCCGGCATTCCTGATTCCATCCCACAGCGGCTTTTCCGACAGACAGGGAGCCGGCGAGGCACACGGAATGATGGAGCAACAGGACGAGCCCGCTGACATCAGCGCGACACCGAGCGAGCGGCACGAAGCCACCCTCGGAGCCCCAGATTTGCATAAGGCGCTGGCTCCTGCAGCGAGGAGGGGAAATGTCGTGCGAGAAATGCGGACGTAGGCACAGACATTGGGAAAACGTCCCGATTTCGGCCGCCTCAGCCGCTATAAAACCCCTCCCGGCAGCGCTCCGGCAGCGCCGGCTTCCCTCCGGCTGGGGCATCCCCGGCGGCGGCGGGCACTGCCCCGGGGAGGCACCGCTCCGCTCCTGAGCCGGCAGCTGCGCTTCGGCCGGCTCCCATCGCCCGGCTGCGGCTCCCCAGGGGACAGAAGGGACTCCCGAGGTGCCAGAAAGGGCCACCGGGAGCCAGAAAGGGCCACCAGGAGCCAGAAAGGGCCACCGGGAGCAGAAAGGGCCACCGAGAGCCAGAAAGGATCACTGAGAGCCAGAAGGGACTCCCGAGGTGCCAGAAAGGGCCACCGGGAGCCAGAAAGGGCCACCGGGAGCCAGAAAGGGCCACCGGGAGCCAGAAAGGGCCACTGAGAGCCAGAAAGGACTCCCGAGGAGCCAGAAAGGACCACTGAGAGCCAGAAAGGATCACTGAGAGCCAGAAAAGACCACTGAGAGCCAGAAAGGACTCCCGAGGAGCCAGAAAGGATCACCGAGAGCCAGAAAGGGCCACCGGGAGCCACCTCTGCTCCCACCCTGCATCTTGCGCTTCTCCTGGCTCCCATCGCCCGGCTGCAGCTCCCCAGGAGTCAGAAAGGACTCTCGAGAGACAGAAAGGACCACTGAGAGCCAGAAAGCACCACTGAGAGCCAGAAAGGAACACCGAGAGCCAGAAAGCACCACTGAGAGCCAGAAAGGACCACCGGGAGCCAGAAAGGATCACCAAGAGCCAGAAAGGATCACTGAGAGACAGAAAGGATCACTGAGAGCCAGAAAGGATCACCGAGAGCCAGAAAGGATCACTGAGAGCCAGAAAGGACCACAGAGAGCCAGAAAGGATCACTGAGAGCCAGAAAGGACCACAGAGAGCCAGAAAGGATCACCGAGAGCCATCTCTGCTCCCGCCCCGCATCCCTGCCGCTTCCCCGGGTGAGTCATTCCACGACCGAGTCAGGAACTCCTTTGAGCTCTTGCTGTTCCTTTCAAAGGTAAAAGGTCTAAAAACGGTCCTCGGTAAAAGGTCTAAATAACCATCTTTTATTACTCAGGGTTGGGTTTTATGGTCCTGGAGGTCTTTTCCAACGTTTTGGATTCTGTGATCAAGGGAAGAAGCGCAGTCGTTTTGTTTGACCCATTAAACCAAGGGCCACTTGTTCCTTTAGTCCTCTGCCTGGGCTTGCCCCTGGGTTTTAGAATAACAGAAGATTTTGAGGTTAATGTGCTAAGAATGAGACGTGCTCGGTTGGGTGCTGCGGAATCTCGTTTCCAAGGTGTGAATGTGCATGTTTGCAAACAAAGATGCTGCTGGGAGCCTGCTGTCCCTTCTGCACAGCTGCAACTGCATAAAAACCATATGAAATACAAAGAGATAAAAATCACTCTCAAATACATTAATTAAAGTGCTTTGCTACAGGGACAAAGAAAACCACAGTGATTCCCACCCTAACCGCTCTGGGTGTGCATGTTTACTTATGTTTATATTGCTCATTCTTTGTATAAAAGGTCATTTTCATCTGGTGAGAAAGCTTTGGAGTGAGCTGGGTATTTTGATTGCACAATCAAATCCCCGTGCAAGAGCCAGATCTCCCCATTGTTCACCTGGTTTTAAGACATTTATTATCTTTAGTGCAAGGGATGACCTTCCTAGGGGCAGTCAGAAATGGGTTCTAACTTTGGGGTATTTTGGAAGCTCATGCTTTTTTAGGGGGAACCTGGTAAGATCGGTGTGTGCAGACCTAGCTTTTATCCCTTTATGGGGTAAGAAGCATCGAGGTTAACTCTGATTCCTCTCCCTGTGCTGTGGGCAGGGTGAAGATGAGTGCTAAAGAGGTCCTGATGCATGCAGTAGAACTTGGAAAAAATTTCTGCCTCTACTTTGAAGGTAATTAGAGCATTTAATAACCTTTTCTGTTTGAATACTGATTTAACACAATTCCTTTGTCAGTCTGATTTCACCCAATTTCCCCCATAAGCTTCAGTTTAAAGTGTTGCTAGCCAAGTAGCTGAGTCAGGGGAATAGTTGTTGCTTTTACAAAAAAACCCTGGGAAAGGACACTCGAAGTGTTGGAATACTGGGGCGTGGACCTGGAGTGAGTAATTTCTGATCTTGAGGAAAAAAGTCAGTTAGGAAACAGTTTCTTCTTTAAAAGCAATTTGTAATGAGTTCTTCTTGTCCTTTCGCTCACTTGAAGGCACTGACAAAACCAAAAATTTGCATGCAATTATTCCTCAGTTTTAGGCTTAGGGTGACATTCTCACCCTTAAATAACCCTAAAAAAGCATTTTGCATTCCTCTGGTTTGGCGGTGACTCAGTTCTCAGATGTCTGGGTTTTCATTTGTTTTGCTGACAGACAAATCCTGTCTGTAGTGAGCAGCTCAGCCTTGGTGGCACTGGCTGTGGGAACGTGTAGGTGGCTGCCTGGGCACAAAGTGACTTCTGTGGGGGCAGAGCTTAATGTTGTTTTTCTTTCCTTTTTTTTGCACTGCTCACTTGGAACCAAGACGACGATGGTAAGCTGAGAACTCGTCTTTTATGATTTTATTGCTCATTTCATACCTACTAATCCAGAGAGGGCAAGTTTCACACTGAGAGTGGCTGCAAAAAACACAGAGCTACAGCTCATTACTTGTGATGCTGATGTTGCTTTAATTCCTCTCAAGACACAGGGTGGTGGCTTCCCTGGTAGCCACCTTTCAATGCACTTTAATGGCTGGGCAAAAGAGAACTGTTTCTGAATTCTCATTATAAACACAGCAGCTTTACTTAAAAATAAAATATCTATAAATGATTTTATATAAACAAATTTCTGTTATAAATACATTTCTGTTATAAATACATTTCTGTTATAAATAAATATTATGTCTATTATAAATAAATATTATGTAATATTATATTAAAATATTATATTAAAATATTATGTTATAAATAAATTTCTGCTTCTATAACTAAATTTCAGATTCTGCTTATGTAACTAAATTCCAGATTCTGGAAATCTGCTTCAAGCAGAGGTGTAAAAGCTGATGTGTGTGATGTCATTCTCTGAACTCTTTCACACGACACCCATAACGCCAGGATCAAGCTGGCAGCCAGCTGTCAGGATGTGAGGAGGCAGCTAAAATATGCAGAATTTTGCTTGATTTTTCCTGCAGAGCTGGAGTGTGATGCCCTGTGCAAGGAGAAGGTTCTGCAGCGAGTGCTGAGGAACGTGAACAGCCAGCTGCTGGTGGTGCGCCCCGACCTCAACGTGGCAGCCTTTGAGGATGTGACCGACCAGGAGATGCAATCTGGTAATTCCCAAACCAGCAGAAACCATCCCCACTGCTCTGCTGCTTTATCCTGGAGGTGGTTTTGTGCTTTGTGATCAATGATGGGACTGAGAGGAAAGACTTAAAGCTTCATTTGCCAGAAGAAAACTAAGCTGAGAGTGAAATTTTGTGTCTTGGACATTGGTGATGGATGAGGTTTCTGGGTCAGACCAAAGCCTGCAGGATGTCACATGCAGAAAAAGGGCTGTTAAGATTTTTGCTTGATTCTGATCACAAAATTCTTAATTCCTCCCCTTTTCTTAAGCTGGATTACCAAAAATCACTTTAAAATTCAAACAATTTATTGGCACTAAAAGGTCTTACTTTCTTCTAATAATATTAGCTATAAACTTAATAATAATATTAGCTAATAATATAGCTAATAATAATAACTTAATAATAATATTAGCTATAAACTTAATAATAATATTAGCTAATAATATAGCTAATATTATTAATAATATATATTAATAATATTAGCTATAAACTGTTCTGGCTTTGACTTCTTGGGGTTCTTCAGCAATTTATTTACACCTCTATTTATATATATATATAATATATAATATATAAAAAAATATATATAATATTATATATATATATATATATATATATATATATATATATATATATATATATATAATCAAAGCCAGAACAGTTTATAGCTAATATTATTAATATTATTAATATATATTATTAATAATATTAGCTATAAACTGTTCTGGCTTTGACTTCTTGGGGTTCTTCAGCAATTTATTTACACCTCTCTCTCTCTCTCTCTCTCTATATATATATATATATATATATATAATCAAAGCCAGAACAGTTTATAGCTAATATTATTAATATTATTAATATATATTATTAATAATATTAGCTATAAACTGTTCTGGCTTTGACTTCTTGGGGTTCTTCAGCAGTTTATTTACACCTCTATTTATTGCCCGTATTTATTTCTGGATCACATGTATCCAGCCATGCTCTGATTTACAGATAGCCAGTTCCACATGCCAGTCTCAGTTCCTGCATGCCCATAAAAGGGTCTGACCCTGCCTGGTGACCTTGGTGCACCCTGGTTGTTGCCTGATTGCATAAAGCACAACCAGAAGCCATAAAAATTCAAGTCCTGGCTCTTCTGTCAGGGAAAATACCCTGGTGAGGCAGCCAGAGCTGCCAGGGGAATGGTAAAGCATCACTGGATGCAGTTGCTGGAGCTGCCTTGGGGCAGGTTATCAACAAGAACCCATTTACTTCCAGGCAAAGGGATGCATTTCAGCATTCACTGCTACAAAACCACCACGCCCTTAGCTGGGCTGCCCGTGGCCTTCAGTGTCCAAGTGGAAAACAAGAGTTATTACATGTGCTGTGAGAGGGAATGTGGGAAAATCATCGTCAGGTTCAAGGTAAGGATCTGCCTCCCTCTCCTCATCTCTACCAATCCAACAGGCAGAATTACCAGCTCAGAGCTGGAATAAAACTGCTCAGGGCTCGTGCTGGGATTGATTAACCTGCTCCATTTCTCCTGCCTCAGGAAGGAGAAGTTCCCAAAGAAATTCCTGGTGAAAGCAACATCATCTTTTTCAAAAAGACATTTACATCTTGCTGCTCCCAAGCATTTAAGTTTGAATACTCCATGGAACAAGGAATGTTCTTGGCCTTTGAGGAAGAAGGCTACTTGAGAAAATTAATCCTTAAGAAACTGTCAGAAGATGAAGTGGATGAAACCATGAAGATGAGTTTATGTAAGTTCGGTCAGAATGAAAATCACAACCTATGAGGAACACTTCAGCAGTTTTCAAATACAGTTTGGGGTTTTTTTCTATACAAGAAACTTTAGTCCTTTATCCTAAACATGTCAGTTTTAACTACTGTCAGTACTCATTAAAAAAAAATAAATGCAAGTTTTTGGCAAAAGGTCAAGCATGTTTTCCAGTCAGACAGAAGAGAACTACACTCTGAAGAAACAAGAATGTCCATAATGTCAATATAGTCCTGTAGAATTTGATCCCTAAAATCTTTAATGCCTAAATCCCTAAAATCTTTAACATCAACCCAACAGCTTTTGCATTAGCTTTGGACTTCTACATTGCCAAACCTCTCAGATAATGAATTTCTCTCCCAAGCAGCTTAGACACCACATCCAGCTGCATCCTGTGTGAGGAAACCTCAGATGAACTTTCCATGAGACCCCCTCAGCTTGCCCAGAGGGACTTCCCCATGACTCACCATCTGTCTGCTCCTCCTCCTGGCCCTACCGTAACACATGCTGGCATTTACACCAGCCCACAGCTCCATTCTGGCCACAACACCATCAAAAATTTGGCCAGCTACCTGCTTTTGCTAATAAATAAAATTTCCAATCCACATTAAAACGAAAAAAAAAACCTCAGTCTTGTAGAATCCAAATAGTGACTTGGTTGTTCTGTTCATTGCAGTCACTGATGGTAACACAAATTCTCTTCCTCTCACTGTTAATAGTGCCACAGAAGTACCATGAGAGTGTGGAAAGAGTGTTCCACTCCTTGGCAATGTGAAAGTCAGACAGGATGAAGCAAAAGTTAGAAACCACAATCTCAGTTCCCCCTAAAAAAATCCCTTAAAGAACAGAACATTCCCTCAGCCTCCTCTTCGTTGGCCTTTCTGTCACACAGGACAACACAGACCAGAGTATTTAGAAAATAAACCTCAAAAAAGTGTTGTAGATGAACATAAAAACCTTGAAAGTCAAATGTTCCTAAAGTCAATCTGCAAAAGTATTTTTATTCTTGCTGTGTTTTCTAAGGGGCATTAATTATCCTTGTGTTAAGTCTAAGTCACCTCTAAGTATTAATTCATACAAATATTCTTCATTTTATGAAGTAAGGCAGAGCAGACCTATCGACAGAGAAAACATTTTAGGCAACCCAAAGCAGTAAAAATGTTTCAGAAGCACACACGAAATTTCTGTAAATTCTTTATTGCATGGATTCTGAAAAAAAGTATTCCCTTTTCTACATCAGCTCATCAGCTCCCAGGGTCCCAAGTGTTACAGGGTCTGCCTTACACACTGATGTCAGAAGAAGGAGTTCAGTTTTCCGCAAGCCAAGCTTGTTTTACAGAACAGGAAACCAACCAACAGTTAGAAAAACACTCAATAAAGCTGGTATTACAAGGAGAGCTCCCTTTAGCTATGCAAATCTGCCACTGATGTAATTCATCCATCCATCCATCCCAATTTATTTACAGTGCAGCTTGAATCCACTCATCTCACTGGGCATCTTCCAGTTAAATCTGTATTTAAACCTCTTTTTTCTCTATATATCCTAAACTAGCTCTGAGCCCCCTGCAGGCTCTCTGGGGACCCTTGGCTGTTCCTTTGTGGTGCAGGATGTTGCTCACAAGCTGATGAAGCAGAGGCAGCAGAGGACAATCGTGTGTGTCAGGGCTGGGGCTCCTCAGAGGCTCCAGAGCATGGCCACAGCCTTGCAGATGCCCACGTCGTGGTAGTTGAAGTGGCAGAGGCCAGCGAAGGTCAGGGCAGACAGGACGTACAGCCCCGTGTTGGCCACTTTAATGGGGACATCTCCGTGCACATAATCAGTGATTACCTGGCCCAGACCCCTGAAGGAGAGAGAAAAGCTCAAATCAGCAAAGTTCACTCACTAAAACCCATCCTCTTTGTGTCCCCCGTTCTGCCAACTGGCTTTTCTCCCCCTTTCCAGCCTTTCCTGAAGAATGCTCAGCTCCCACACAGAAAGAGGAAAAATCTATTTCAAAAACAAACCAAAACATTCCAGATTCCATTGAAAATACACAGATTGGCTCAGAGTTTTCTTGAGGAAAACAAGGGCTGACCACAGCTCTCCAAACAGAATCCTTGGATCTGCCTTCTTATCTGACTTCCAAGGACTGGAAAAGAGGAAAAGCAAGGAAATATCTGGGACCAGCCACTGTCACAAAGATACAGAAGACTCCTGGGTATGCCTTTAGATTAAAAGAGTGGCAACCAAAGAAATTAGTGTATTTTTATTTTGTTTCTACATCTGGAAGTGAACTCCTGTCCAGATTTGAACTATCCAGCAACCTGAGACATGGGATGCTTGTTTTGGGAAAAAGCTCCCAGTCAGAGCAAGGAAAGTGCAAGAATCCCTGGCACAAATTCCTAAGGGCAAAGCTGAAGTTTAAGAAAACCTGGCACCCCCAAAGTACCACAAAAATCTGCTTTATCCTTGTGGCAAGGAACTCCCAAACCAGGATCACCTCAGGAAGGTGGGTGCTGCCAGCCTGGCCAACCACGTAGCTGGATCCACTCCTAATTAGTCCTGTCCCTGCTCTCATTAAGGATCACAGCAGAACTACACTGAGCAAACATCCATCCAGGAATAAAGGAAATAATCACCCATGTCTCCTTAGTGGAATATTTGCTGTGAGTTCTTTATTATGCAGAACCACTGAGATGGATGAGATGACCATCTCATCACCACTGAGATGTACAAAGCCAGTGCACGGAGCTTTGGAGGCAGAATATTTGTGTATTTTTTTATACAGATCTGTCCTCTTTCTGTTTCCTTCTGTTCACACAACACTGGTTCTTCCACATGCTAAAAACATCCAGGATTCTACACCTCCAGTGGCAAGCAAGTGCTCTTAAGGTTAAGATTTTAAGGATTCTTTTTCTGAGTGAGAGGACAGTGTGAGAAAGGAAGACCAAAGTACAACCACTCCTGCCACCGAACGTGGAAACCAAGGACTTTTTCCAGCTGTTTTACCCTAGCCCAGGATGAGGTTTGGAGGCACCAAAGCTCCTTTGCTGTGAGCTGAGCCCTGCTGTGCTTACCAGTGGCCGTGCAGGGTGAGGGCTGCAGCCAGGGAATAGTCCACAGCTGGTCCAGGGCACAGGTAGGCTGCGGGGAGCAGCCCCAGCAGCAGCACACTGACAGCTCGCTCCCCTGTCCAGTGCAGAGACGCAGCCTTGGAACCGCCTGCAAGGAGAGACATTCTCAGGGAAAAGCCCCTCTGCCAAGGGCTCTGCAGCCCTTGGAGGGCTGGCTGGGATAGCTTGGACATCTGGAGGGTTTGCAAACCAAAACCCTGCTTGAGCAATGCTTGGCAACACAACGGGAGCATCAGCCCAGGCTGAAACCATCAAGAACTGACTCTGCGAAATTATCAATGCAACACCCCAAAGTGCTCAACTAACACACAGATATCATCCACCTAAACCAAAATGCAAATGGTTTCCTTCGTTTTGGCACGGAGAAAAGAAATTTAGAAAGCGACAAGACAAGGAAAGCAAAGGATCTGAAGTTTGGACTTGGGCAAAGTGCAAACTGAAGTGCTATTGACTGGTAAGAGTGCTGCTGAAGGGGAGGGTGCACACACTCCTCACAGCCTGAGGCACCACAACTGCACCTTTATTTATCACAAATAACATCTCTGCACAATTACTGCCCTATCTAACAACGCTCAGCATTTCACAGCTTTTCCCTTAAACCAACGGGCATTTAGGATTATTTTTTCCTTTGCTGGTAACACCCATAACTGTACATCACCCAACAGGACACCAAGAAAAGCACTGCACCATATGTAAATATCTTCTGTTCTCTGTTACAGCTGCCACTTAAAATCTCCTAGAGTGGCCCCAAAAAATTATAGACTCAGCCTGGTTTGGGGATGGGAGGGACCTTAAAGCTCATCTTGTTCTTAGGTCCCTGCATGGCCATCAGGTACTACCTCTGTCACCTCTGTTGGTGCCTTGAAGGACCCAAAGGAGCCAAAATCTGGTCCTTTACAGCCCTTTCTTGGCAGAATCACAGAATATTCAGAAGTTGGAATAGACTTGAAGGATCATCTAACATCCAGCCCTGGGCAGGATGCCTTGAGCTAGACCTGGGTGCTCGGGTTTCGGCAGTTCCAGGGATGGGAAAAGGGTCCTGATTCCGGGAAAACGAGATCCCCGCACACCAGCACGGACGGACAGACAGACAGACAGACAGACAGAGAGACAGACAGACACAGACAGGGCCGTACCGTGTCCCTGGCGGGGCGGGCCGTGGCTGTCGCGGGCCGGAGCGCAGCGGGCGGCGGCGGCACCGAGCGCGGCGGGGCGGCGGAGCAGGGCCGAGCCCAGCAGAGCTGCGGGGACAACGGGGGCGCGACGTGAGAACCCCGCACCCTCCGGGGACCCGGAGCCACCGGAATCCCGCACTCACTGGGGACCCGGAGCCACCGGGGTCCTGCACTCACTGGGGTCCCGGAGCCACCGGGGTCCCGCTCCCTCCGGGATCCCGCACCCTCTGGGTCCCGCTCCCTCCGGGTCCCGCACCCTCGGGGTCCCGCTCCCTCCGGGGTCCCGCTCCCTCCGGGTCCCGCACCCTCAGGGTCCCGCTCCCTCCGGGTCCCGCACCCTCGGGGTCCCGCTCCCTCTGGGTCCCGCTCCCCGCCCCGCTGCCCCGGCCTCACTGACCCAGGGCGGCCCCGCGGGGCCGCGGCCGCAGCAGCGCCAGCGCCATGTCCGCTCCAAGGGCACCGCGCCCGGACACGGAACCGCGCCCGAGCTTCCGCCGCCGCTTCCGCCTCCGGGGCACCGGCACGGCCGGGAGCGGCCGCCGCGGGGCTCCGCGGGGAGGATGTGAACGCCCGAGGCAGCGGTGGGGGGATCTGGGGCAGGAATGCTCCGCTGTGAGGGCGGGCAGGCCCTGGCACAGCTGCCCAGAGGAGCTGTGGCTGCCCCATCCCTGGAAGCACCCAAGGACAGGTTGGAGCATCCTGGTGGAAGGTGTGGTGCTCAGGGAGCTGGAATGTCTCTAAATCCCCTTCCAGGCAGAACCATTCTGTAATTCTATAATTCTGTCTTAAACCCCGCAACAGACCCAGGTGCTCTTCATCTGTGTGTTCACTACTGCAACACCTTGGTACAGAC